AACAAAAAATTCATTATGTCCCATTGAATCATTTGGACAAATTACCCATTCCAATATTATGACCTTCCATCTCTGGTTCTATTAGTATAGCGTTCAGTCTTATGTACTCTGGGCCAGTGTTGGACGATGGCAATATCATAATATCATGCGATATTTCATATGATATATATACTGTAGAATCATATGAATCATATGCCATATGATATAGAATCATATAAAACTCCATATGATATTGTAATATGACAAATCATATAAGTTATGTCATCTGAACTTGAATAACTATTGATTAAATTGATTTTAATTGACTGATAATTCACAAATATATATATCATTATTAGTAAACTAAAGTCAAAACACTACTTAAATTAGTGAATATTACTATTATTTAGATGCGCTCTTTTATTATAAGATAAATCGTCGCATTATGCAATAGAATCAATCCAACTATAAATAGAGTTTTATCAATTCGTCACTCACTCCGGATGGTGTTAATACCCCTAGGTCTGTGCACAATAACGTAATATAATCAGGTGGTGTATAATCTACCGTGGGATTAATCGCCTAGCATTTAAACAAAAGTTAATAGGATGATTAGCATAAATTTTTAGCATAAATTTCTAGCATAAATTTTAGTATAAATTTCAGTATAAATATAGCATAAATAACAAACCTCATAATTTCCTATAACTTCATCTTCTGATGATTCAGTATTGTGATGTTCTAAGTCAGGAAATGTGAGTAAATCGGGTGTGTGAGTCGGAAGATCGTATTGATTGAGTGGGAATAGACGAACAAATTTATAGCTGGCAATGTAAAAATGTAAATGCGTTAATATCAAAATCCGTTATTTCATTCACGTTACAGATTATTATTTAAATTTGTGCTTACCTTTCAATAACTGCATAAAATGGCTTATTAGCAGCCTTTGCAACAACGGCTAGTTGATAAGTACCAATCTAATAATTTTGAACTTTTATTCAGAAATTTTATTTAATTATATTCAATGCTTTAAATTCAATGTAAGCCTTACAGCATTGATGAGTCCACCATTTTCAACAACACCTTCTGCTCCGACAAAAACAGCATCAACTTTATCAATAATGTAACCTACTGCTGTATCATAAATGACGGTTGCCGGGATCCCTGCTTTACATAATACTTTAGCAGCTCTGATCCTAATAGTAATAGTAATAATAACATCACGACGTTAGATAAATATCACAGGAAGTATATGGTGGATATGCAATGAAACTTATTATTTACCCTAAGGACAAGGGCCTAGATTCGGTAACATAAACTTTAAATCTTTTTTTACAAGCGGCAGCACGTTGGAGAAGCAACATAACCACACGAGAATAAGAATGAATCAATATTGTCTGAAAGGTTGTAAAAATAAAATTGTCAGAAAAAACATGCATCCTAGAAGATTCAAAATTGAACATAAAAGGATACATACAGCATCATCTTTAATAAATTGTACACCTAAATCACCAATCTTTTCACGTACAGCTGCGGCTTTTTCAACAAGAACTTTCCCACTATTTATTAAATGCTCTCTACATGCTTCAAAGTTCTAAATCATATTAATATTAGAAGAATTTAATTTCGGTATAACCTTTATATAATTACATTAATATAATATAGTTTGTAGTTTATCATTTGCTCACCGTAACATCGTGTGAAGTTCTTGTTACGAACCTTAAAAATAAATCAGCACCAGCTGACAACGAAATTGAATTTTTTACTGATGATTTAAGTTTTTGACTAGCATCTTTCAAAGATTCCATGAATTCCGTCAACGTGGTTGCTTATATAAAATCAAGAGGCGAAATAAACAAAATATCAAAAATTCGTATCTTTCATAATAACATATATATATATATATATATATTACCTTTACTATGTTTTATTAATTCGACAAGTGACTCTATCGCCGCGATTGGCATGGATAAATCCTGATCTCAATCGAATAAATATTTCATAAGTTACAAATTTTTATTTATACGATAGATATGAAAAACATACCGGATCATCTTTCAAAAATTTTTGATAACATGTGACAATATCAAATTGTTCGGCTACGACAGAAACAACGACAGATTCCACTGATTGAGACATTTTAACGATAAAAATTTTTTACTTAAAAAAAAAAGAAAAATCCTGTTGAATGACTAATTAGGTTTTAATTATTACAGCGCTGTGTAAAAAGACTGCACGAACGTTACACTATATTTATAGTGGGAGATAATGAGAGAATATCATACAACGCACAGGGATCCGGAAAAATATTGATTTATATAGATCAATATACAGTCAAACCTCCAGTTTGGGAAACAAGAATCCGGTGATTATAAAAAGTTGTGATTATATAAAGGTCAAATTTTATGTTTTATATATTAGCTCGACTTAAAAAATAGCGTGATTATATCAAGATTGTGATTATATCAAGAGTGACTATAACGAGGTCTGGCTGTAAATCGATATTTTTATGCCAAATCATAAATCGATTTTTTATGCACCACATCGGGCAAAATTAAAAGTATAATTTAGGCCGGGCAATATAAATTTGGCCAACCAGGTTTCGGAAATGTAGACAATCAAAAAAACAAAAATTTCCCGAAAAACATAAACTTACGTTATTCGATATTTTTCCGGGACGACGCACACTTAAACTTGGCAGGCTACTATGTCATAACGATAAGTGATCTTGTTGATACAAATGCATTACAATA